AAATTTTTTGTAGATTCTGGAGACAGAACAGTGCAGCTATTAGAGGACTGAGTTTCAAATGCCCAGGGGTTGTAAGATCTAGTCTTTAGAAATCTTCAAAAATGTTTTTCATCTATGGATTATGAATAGCATTCCTGCCAGTCAGGCTTATGTTTGCCTATCATTATCATCTGTGTCAGACCAATCAAGGAAAAACACGTGAGGACATAAGTTACAAAAAAATGAGGAACATGTTGTTTTTAATCCACAGATATATTAAAACAATAGTAGAAGACTATGAACAACTGTTGTGTTTGGGCCAGATTTTGAAATGGTTGTATTAAAATGGACTGTATAGATATTTGATTCCTACCTGCTTCATTTGTTCTTTGTTAATTTTTCTTCTTTTTCTTTCTTCTCTAGGTTTAATTAAATAAGTGTAGTTCAATTTTATCTTCTCTATTGAGTTATTATTTAAATAATTGATAGTAGTTGTCTTAGGAATTATAATATACATTTTAAATAATTTGTTTCTATCTTCAAATAAATTACACTGTGAGAGGAGTTAGTACATTATAACAGTGTGCCAAACATTCAACAACACATCATTGTGAATTCCTTTTGAAAAATTACTTATGTTAATCAATAGCAAGAAAAAAATATTTTATGTCCATTTATTTCAACTCTACTGCTCTTTATTTCTTTGTGTAGATTTAAGTTTCTGATGCATGTCATATTCCTTAAGTCTGAAGAAGTTCCTTTAACATTTCTTTATCTTTTAAAAATTTTTCCTTTATTGTTTATTATTATTGTCACAAAGTTTGTCTGCTACCAATCCATTTATTCCCATAGTTTTCAGCATCTTAAAGATGCCATATCATTGTCTTGTTGCTGGCATGTTTCTGATGAGAAATGTGCTGTCATTTCTATCCTGCTTCCCTGCAGGTAATGTATCTTTTTCTTGGTCTGCCTTTAGATGTCCATGCTGACTTTTGTTTTCAGCATTTTGAATAGAGCATGCCTAGATGGTTTTTATTTGTGGGTTTGTTTGTATATTTATCCTGCTTAGAATGTTCTGAGCCTCTTGGGTCTATGATTTAGATCTTGGATTTTATTAATTTTTGAAAATCCTCAGCTATTATTTCTTTGAGCATTTCATTAGCCCCATTATCTCTTTTTTCTCCTTCTGAAATCCCAGTTATGCACATTTTAGACCACTTGATATTGCCTGAAATTCTTGGATGCTATGTTTTGATTTGATTGATGCCATTTTACTGTTTTCTTCTTTTGCACTTCAGTTTGTGGAGTTTCTACTGATTGATATTCAAGTTTACTGATTCCTTCTTTGTCTGCATCAAGTCTGTCAATTAAAACCATCAAAAATGATCTTCATCTTTGATAGTGTGTTTTTGTTTTCTAGTATTTCCATTTTATTCTTTCTTACAATTTATCTTTCTGATGAAATTGCCTATCTGCTCTTGCATGTTGCTTACCTTTTCCTTTAGTATTTCAACATTAATTATAATTATGTTAAACTGTGTTCAATGTCTGAGTTACAACTTTGTCTATGATGATTAGTTTTCTCTTCAAACTCTTTTTTGTCTTTTCTTACAACTTATAATTTTTTGTTGGAATCTTGTCATACTGCAAAGAGCACAGATATATATGTCTTTCCTGGTGCTAGATCTTCAATTTAGGGTTTTGCATTAATGTCCTCAGGTGTTGGACTGCATTTGAAGTTTGTTATTACTATAGTTAACTTCAGTGAACCATAGTCTCAAACTCCTCTAGTGATACTTTGTATTTAGGGTATGGGTTACATTGTGAGAGGTTTCACTTTCTTTAGTATCTATTCTCATTTTGACTCTGAATCTTCCTTCTATACTATTCCCCAGAAAGAATCTCTCTGTCCTAGTAATCTTTGCAAAGGGTTGTATTTACTTAACACTTGCTACTGGTGGTGGATTGGAGTAAGAGAACATTCTCTGATACTTTGATCCTCACTAATGTAAGGCAGGCGCTGTGGGTGAGGACTCACAGGTATGGTTCTCACAAGCAACCCTGACTCTCTAGCAGCTCAAGTCCTGGGCTGCTGCTCTCTCAGGATACAATTTTATTTTTTCTCTTCCCTTCCTTCTGCTACAGTAGATGTTCACCAATGCCCTAAACTGACAGTTTTTGTTCTTCCTTTGAGATTAAGATTTTTGTCCCACTGAGGAGTCTGTGAAGGTAGATCTAGACAGAACTTCTGCACAAGCTACTATTCCCTATCTCAAAGTCTGATAGTACTTACCAGTTGAACTCTCTGTGTCTCCATGTATCTTTGTGGGGAGATTTTTTTTTAATCAAAAATTAAATTTCTCTAGTAGATATAAGACAACCAAGATTTTGTATTTCTTTTTAAATCAGTTTTGGTAAGTGTCAAGTAAGTTCTCTTCTTCCAAATTATCAAATTTATTTGTCAAAATTTATCATTATCTTACCTTGTTGGAAGATCTGTAGTAAGATTTTCTTCTTCTTTGAATCCCACTATTTACATTATCTATTTTTTTCTCTCTCATTGTTTCTTGATTAGTTTCTCAAGGAGATTATCAATTTCTTAGATCTTTTAAAGAAACAATTTTTAGCTTTGCTAATATCTTCTAATTGCCTTGATTCCATTGAGTTTTGCTTTGTATTATTCCTTTCATTCTACTTTCTTTCACTTTTACTTGCCTTCATAAGGTGGAAAATTAGTTATTAATTTTGAATTTTTTCTTCCTAGTAAGGCATTTAAAATGATAAATTTCCTTTTAAGTAATTCTAAAGCTGCATGCTACATATTTTTAAATTCTGTGTTTTAATTGTCAATTCAGATTTGTAAATTTTTGCTTGTAATTTAAAAAACTCATTCCATGGGATATTTAGAAATACCTTATTAACTTTTCAAATATTTAGGGCCTTCTAATTTAAACTGGTTTCTAGTTTAAGCTATTGTCAGATGTTATATGCAGTTAGATTTCAGTGGTTTAAAATTGATTGAATCACCCTTTGTGGCTCAATATGTGATCTTTCTTGAGCCAGGCATAGCTGAGAAGAATGTGCATTCTGCAATTATTGTGTTCCATAAGTGCTAATTAAGTCAGATTAGTTAATAGTGCTCAGCTCTTCTGAAGTTTTAATGATTTATATATATGTATATATATATTACATAGATATGATTTAATAATTACTAGAACAATGTGTTAAAAACTCCAACTATCGTCTATTTCTTTGTCTACTGTCAGTGTTTTGCTTTACATATTTTGATAGTCAGGTCTACTATTAAGTCCTATGCTTGTGGAAATGCTGTATACTCCTGATGAATTGATTTGTTAAATCATTGTAAATTGTTCCCCTTTTATAAACTTTACTTCCTGAAGTCAATTTTGCCTCTGATTAATGTAGCCATGTCTGCTTTATTTTACTTATGATTTTCATGATACATCTTTTCCCATACTTTATATGTAAGATATATCTCACATAGTAGCATGTAGTTGAAACTTGCATTTTTAAAGTTCGTTCTGACAATCTCAAACTTTTGACTTGAGCATTTAGAGCATTTGCATTTAGCATAATCATGATTATAATTGGTTTTTAAGTGATTACTACAAGAGATAACAAAACATCCTGAACTTATTAGACTATTTTTTTTAAGAATTAAGTCATTCGAATTTTATTTTCAATTTGGCTTCTTACAAATAAAATACAAACCTGAAAAAATACCCCACACAAATTTTTTGGTCATGACTTTCTCTGCCAACAGATATATAATCTTCCAGACATTACTCAGAGCAAAGTATCTAGTGAAAACTGAACAGAAATAAAATTGATATAGGCCAAGGGATTTTTTGATAATGGTACCATTTAACCAATGTATTTTATAAAACAGTGAAAGCCAGTATGCAATTCCAAGTCCACCTAGAGTCAATATTGTCCCACTTCACACTTAATATTTCACATTTCCACTTCTGAGTTTCCAATTCACACTTTGGCTCTGATTCTTCATACTTGAGTGTTCACAGTCAATACTTTTGCAGCAGTATAATTTCTTCTGCTCCCTAGCCATTGCACTAATGTTTTCATACTTCTACATAATGAATAAATGTTACCCTACAATATTATCATTTTAATTTTAAACCAACAGTTGTCATTTAGGATTTTATAAGAGGGAAAAGAAGCACATTCTTTACTTGATATCTTTATTTACTGAGTTACTGGTCTTCATTCTTTCTAGTAAATTTAAATTTCCATGTGCTATCATTTCCTTTCGTCTTTAAGAACACCCATTATGATATTTTTTATAATTTAGTTTTGCTGACATAATTTCTTTTAGTTTTCATTTATCTGAAAATGTCTTGTTTCAGACTTGTTTTTGGAGGATATTTTTTCTTTATTTTGAATCCTGAATTGACATAACGTTTTGTTTTGCCAGCATTTAAAAAACTTTTATTCCATTGACTTCTGGACTTATTATTTCAGATGAGAAGTAAGTCATCATTTATGTTACTTTTCCCTTGAATGTAATTTTTCAAGTTTCTTTCTTTTTCTTTGGTTTTTAGAAGTTTGCCTAGGATGGGACTAAGTGTAGTTTACTTTGCATTAATCTTGCTTATAAGTCAGTGAGCTTCCTTATTGTGTAAGTTGACATTTTCCACCAAATTTCAAACAGTTGAACTATTATTTCTTAAAATATTCTTACCTTGTTTTTCTGGGACTCCAATTAGTAATATATAATAATTAAATATTACATATTATGTAATAATATGTAAATTAGGTATTATATAAATTGTGACCCCAAATTCTGAAAACCTTTTTACATTTTTTACTCTGTTCTTCAGATAGGATAATTTCTATCAATCTGTCTTTAGTTTATGATAGTTCCTTTATTTTCAATCTGCTATTAATTCCTTTTGATGAATTTTTTTAATGTAAGTTGCAATCCCCCTTTATTTTCTTCCTTCCTTCCTTTGTTTTTTTTTTTTTTTTTTTTTTTTTCAGGATTCTAGGCTGGGTTTATTTTAAATTCACAGCTGAGGTACAAATGGCTGACACACTAGACACAACAAGCCACTGAACTATGATTTTTTTTTTTTAACTAAAGTTGTTTATTCTTAAATGTACAACAGACTCCAATACAACACTTCATTCTGACCATAGGTGGCAAAAGATGTTATGGCAGGAAATCCAGATGTTTAAATAGGAATGGAATCAGGGTCACCATCATCTCGGCACAAGACTAGTTTACTTTTTGCCAGATTTCTTAATTCCACCTGTAGCCAGGGGCCCCTTCCCCGCGGCTTTCGCTTTTAGCTCCTCGAGTTTCTTCTGCTCCTCTTTTTGTTTCTGCTTGAAAGCCTTATCTTCCTCATCCATCTCCTTGGCTTGCTTCTTGGGCTGTTTCAGGGGCTTCTTCTTGCCACCTTCGCGGCCGGACATGGCGCCTGCCGCCCCTTCCCCAAGACCCTGATCCTCCTTCCTTTGTTTTTTTGAGACAGTTTTCCTATGTAGCCCAGGCTGCCTCACACTCAAGATCAAGATTTCCTTAGTTTTGAGTGCACCCCACACTTCTTTCTCTCTCACTCTCTCCATTTCCATTTCTCTGCTGAGATTCTCTAACAGACAGTGTTCTTTTAATTGATCATATTTTTCTGTTTTTTATGTCTAGCAATTTTTATTGTGCCTTCAACACCACGAATGGTACATTTTAGAGCCTAAGAATTCTGCCATCTTCCTCTGTAAAGTAGACTTTTGCTCTAGTAGGCAATCAGCTTACTACCTAATTAAGCTAAACTTGTAGTCTTGGTTTCATTTCAGACTCTCCCTGGCACACGACTTTTACTCCTGAAGGAGAATTTTGTGATGTGTCAGCTGAATGCCAAAGTGTCAACAAGGTGTTCCACTCAGGCTATACTGGAACTCCAGAATCTCATACAACTGTCCAAACTCTAGCAAGTCAATTCCACTCTGTCCTCCATTTCTGCTCTCTAGTAACCACCCAAGTTCACCTTGTGCACACTCAACCAAGCTCTCAACCGAGAACTTGAGGGGAAAGCATATGGAAATTTCTGGGACTTCCCCCACTGTACAGCTTAGTCTTCTCCAGAGCCCTAGGCAAAGAGCTTTCTGAGATAGCAAGGTTTGTACTGTTTCCAATTCCCAAACCAGTTGCCTCTCTATTTTCTCTCTTTATAGTTTACAACAGAGGAATTAATCTGCTGTCATTTACTTTGTTATGGACAGATAGATGTGTTTTCATCAGCACAGTTTCGTAGTATGTTTAGCAGTCAGGTATTGTGATGCCTCCAGCATTGTTCTTTTTGCTTACAATTGCTTTGGCTATTCAGTCGTTAGTGGATGTGAGTTTTAGAAGAACTTTTTTTTTTATTTCTATGAACAATGTCACTGGTATTTTGATAGGGATTGCATTGAATCTGGATAGCTTTAAGTATTAGGGATTTTTTAAAATAATATTGATTCTTACATTCTATAAATGGAATGTTTTTCCATTTTTGTGTTCTCTTCAATTTCTTTCTTTAGTATTTTTTAGTTTTTATTGTAGAGTTCTTTTACCACCTTAGCTAAACTTACTGTAGATATTTTTGCTGCTATGTAAATGTTATACTTTCATGATTTCATTTTAGCCAGTTCATTATTGGTATTCACAAATAATAATGATCTTTGTATGTTGATCTTGTTTCTGGCAATGTCACTGAATTTGTTTACCAATTTGAATAGTTTTCTGATGGAGTCTTTAGGGTTTTTTTTTTTTTTAATCATAAGATCATTTCAGCTGCAACCAAGGCTAGTTTAACTTCCTGCTTTTCAAATTGGATCCCCTTTAACTCTTTTTCTTGCCCAATTGGTACATCTAGGTACTCTACAAGGTTTAAACTCTCAGCTTTAGTAACAAATCATGGCAGGGGCTACATCCTGTCCATAATCCTACAACCTTTCTAGAAACAAAAGTAGGAACAGAAAAATTAGATACCTTCCATTCTCTGTCCTGAGTGATTTGGTTTTTATGGAGGGATCTCAGTAAATAGCCAAGTAGATGATTCATATAAATAAAAAAAATACTCTTGGAAGGCCTAAGAGGAATGGCACATTCAGAATTTCTCTGTTGAATGATGGACATCTCCTTTACTTGTCTATGTTCTGCATTCTTATTTTGTTTTGCTTATTTTAGTTCCTATGGAAGGCATTTCTTGGCTTTGTTGGAGTGAAAACATCTTGAGATGGTTCTAATTTGTTAGCAAATGGTAAAATATTCTTAAGATAATATTAATTTTTAGGGTCAGGGAAACACATGGTATTGCTCTTTTTCTTCATATTGTTTCTGTGTTTTCTTCATACTGTTATTAACCCAGTCATTTATGGTGATAGAGGTAAAGGTCTACAGCATCATAGTATCTTCTCATGTAAAGCATTACTTCTTTTAACCGTGTTTTTATTACACATATTATGCTTCATTCTTCACTTACTAAAAACATACATACTGTAATCAGAGTTTAATAAAAATTTCCTTTCACTTCTTTTTCCAATCCCAATGGATTCATATATATGGATATAAATAATAAATGCACATACATATGTATATATAATACATTAATTTATATATTGTAGTTAATATATAACATTAATTTTCATATGTGTATATTTATGTGTGGACAAATTATATATACATATTGTATATGAATCACATTTAATTTTTTATATTTGTTCGTCATCACCTATGATTATGTTAGAAACATGTAAAAGTTAAATAAAAATGGAATTTATAAGCCAAGAATTTGGAGATTCCTTCCCTGTACTCTCAAAATTTGATCCCTGTAGGAAACTCATTATGAAGTCCCATCCTAATTATTAGGAAAATGACCTACAGAAGTCATTCAGCTACCATGACATGTTTCTTGTTCATAAAACATTTTAACTGCCTGTGTCTCCTGATTCCATGTTCAGTGTTTTTATGTTGGATCAGAGTCATTTATTTTCATGCCTGCTCTTATTTTTGCAATCTCTAACATTCATTTCAGTTTTAAAATTTTATGGTTACTGACTAATGAACTCTAAAAGTACAGATTTTAGAACAAATTTCATTATTTTCTGTCCAATTTTCTTTCTTTCTTTTTTTTTTTGTTTCCATTAATGTAGTAATCTGAACCAATCTTGAGGCAATTTATTGTTCACATACCAAGTTGGGTAAAGGGTGGATGTATGATTTCATTAGTCATTTAGTCCACTCTGGGGACAAGAGGTTGTGCTGAATGAGTGGGTACAGCACAATGAGTAATATTTGCAGCTGTTTCTCCAAATACAACGTGTGAACAGGAAAGTACTTACATTGGTATTTGGGAACTAATTCATGGTTACATTGGAATGCAAGGTAGTGGCAACACCAGTCATCTGTCCTTCAAATCAATAAATTGCTTATGTAGACGAGGGTAAAGAAACCCATTCCATCACCCCTTTTCAGTTTCACAATCATAAAGAATTTTCTAATCACTCTGCTTGTAGCATTTCTCTCCTCTAAGTGACTCATGTATGAATGGGGCAAGGATTTGCCTTCTGGGTACAAGGCCATGTCTGGAGATCTACCTTCTAACAACTATAGTACTGAAGCCTTTGAGACTATTTAAGCAATTGCAGATTATTCACGTGATGAGAATTTTTTCCAGTTCTCTTCAAATGAAGACTTTGTACTCAAATCCTTTCTTTGGATTTAGAGTCCAGGTGATGAATTAAAATAGTGGGCTTTTCAATGATAAAACATTTCTCTTAAAATGCAATAAATAATTTGAGGCCAGTCATATAGAGTTTATCACTGATTTCACTTTTAATTGACAATGTTGTCCATGACTAATGATCTCATTTGTATTATTTCATGTAAATAAGCAGAGAATCAAAATGAGGGAAATAGAGAAGTTGTCTTGTGAAATGTTTTATTTCATACAAAACACAAAAGTCCTGTTGTAAAGTATCTGACTGTTTTAGACCCTAGTTCTACACACACAAAGCCAGAAGCAAATGTTTAAATTCAATCAGACCAGTCATTAGATGTCCTGTAAATAATGAAAGGATAAAACATGAGCTGGTTTAAATCATAACTAATGATAGGAAAGATATCCACTGACTTAAATTCTTTTTCTTAACTACTTTGTGTAATTAGAAACAGACATTGTCTCTTCACCAACTTCTTAAAAAATCACAATGTCACATCTTGTATAAACTCCCATTTTTGTTCCAATTTTAAGGTATAAAAATCTATGCAATTTCAACTTTTCATTGGTCAAAACAAGGCCAGAAAATCCCTATCTGTCCTGTGGTTAACACCCCATTTAAACTAAATACACACATTGACTTAAATAATGGTGTTAAAGATTAGCTCTGAATTGATAATTCCAAGTAAATTTCCCCTCTCTCACGAATAATTTTTTTACAAGTTTTATTGTGGAAATTTCTCCTAATGTCCTGAGAAGAGTTTATTTAGTACTTTAAAGAGAGGATTATACTACAGCTCCCTGAAATTCCTTTTTGCTGTTGTTGTTTTATTTTGAGAAATATGAAAGCTACAATAGGTATTGTGAGAGAAAGAAGAGCACAGGAAGAAATTAACCCAGGGATAAGAAGAAGCATTAAATACTATACACACAAAAGACATCAGGTTGACTACAGAAAAAAAACACTGGATTTATAATATTCTCACGCCATTTTTATAATTAGAAGCAGAAACAAAAGGTTTCTGGGACGTTAGTTTTTTTCGAGTTGGAGGTTAAGATTTACTCAGAAATAAACAGAAAACCACAGAGTTTGTGAAAAGTCCCATATAATCTAGTTCTGGCACTCCAGCCTTCTAAAAATGTTAAGTTAGCAAGGTTTACCATTGCTTCTAGCACTGCAATCAGTCATAGTATTGCTGAAGCACCACCCAGCAGGATCAGTTTGTTCACAAGCCTGTGGCACTCAGCTTCCTCCGCGAGACGTGGTCTGGGCCTTTCCCTCGCGTGTTCACCTCCCCATATGAGCACCACCAGCTTCCAGCCCCCAGTACATCTGTTGTACAAGCTTCAGATCAGACACAGAAATGGGGACAAGCGCCACCCACTGGAGTTCACTTGCTGCTCTCCCAACTGTTGGCAATTGCATGGTGTGTTTTCCACTTTCTCATGCTATCCTGTCATGTGGTTCTGGAAGGTAGGTGACAGGTAAAGAGTATGATTTTCCTGCCAAAATCCTTCTCCACCCACGGTGCAAGATGCTATTTGCCATTCTCTAGGAATAAACAGACAACCCAGGGAAATATATAGAAATAGGGAAAATGTCTCTTAGCCCTTGAAGCTTGAAAATGAGCTTGAGGCAAGTTCATCCATTTGCACAGATAGAACTTCAGCCATCTATTCCCACTCAACAGGTATCTACAGACTGGATTGTGCACAGCGTTGATGCACAACCAAGATATGTGTCAA